CCCCCCCATATCTCGCCGGCCCTGGTCCTGCACATCCATCCCTTGGCGCAGGGACAGCCGCGCTCCTTAGTCCTTCTTCTTGGGAGCCGGGGCCGAGGCAGCCAGCGAGGCCAGCTTCAGGGCCGAGGTCAGGAAGTTCCCGACGCCGGAGCCATAGAAGAAGGAGCACAGGGCGGTGGTGAAGTCCGGGGACACACGCGAGATCGGGTACTGCAGCAGGGGCGGCAGGTCGGTCTGGACGAAGGGGAACCGGTCCAGGGTGACCACCTTGGCATGGCACAGGCCACGGAGACCCTCGTAACCACCGATGCACCCGAAGCCGGAGTCCTTCACACCACCGAAGGGCAGAGACTGGCACAGGTAGTTGACGGCATAGTCGTTCTGGTTGCTCATGCCAACATCCAGACGGCTGATGATGGACTTGGTCCGGGCGGTATCCATGCTGAAGACGCTGGACCCCAGGCCGAAGGTGGTGGAGTTGGCGATGCGCACCGCGTCATCGTCATCCTCGAAACGCATGACCAGCAGAATCGGCCCGAAGACCTCCTGGTTGGCGATCTTCATGTCGGTGGTCACGTCCACGAGCAGGGTCGGGGCGAAGTACTGGCCCTTGGGCCACTTGGAGACGAGCGACCGGCTACCACCGACCAGCAGACGGGCGCCCTTGGACACGGCATCGTCAACCAGGGCCTCGAGGCGATCGAGCTGGCGCGCGTGGGAGGGGGAGGGGGGGGACGCAACATGTCAGAGACGAAGTGGGGAGAGAGAGAGAGAGAGATACACATCTGGGAATACACCCACGCACTTCGCTAACCATACGCATGGCGCCAACGTCCACGTCGATGTCCTCCAGAGGGGACCCCTGGCGAAGAGCCTCCACCTTGGGCTTGACCGCCTCCACATACTGGTCGTAGATCTTCTTGTGGACGATGACACGCTCGATGCCGATGCAGTTCTGGCCGGAGTTCTGGAAGGTGCCACGCATGGTGAGGTTGACCGCCTGACCGAGGTTGCAGTCGTCGCACAGGATAATCGGGTCCTTGCCGCCGAGCTCCAGGATCACCGGGGTCAGGTTGTCCGACGCGGCGTTCATGATCTTCTTGCCGACGAAGGGGGACCCGATGAAGGTGATCTTGCGCAGACCACCGCGCACCAGGGCATCACCGGCATCAGCGAAGCCGGTCACGATCTGCAGCAGGTCCGGGCTGTGGCCACAGGCGACGAAAGCCGCGCGGATCATGTTGGCGAAGAAGGTAGCCGACCAGGAGGTATGCTCGCTGACCTTGACCACGGTGGCGTTACCGGCGAACATGGAGGAAATCAGCGGCGAGATCAGGTTGTGCAGGGGGTAGTTCCAGGAGACAATCGCGCCGACAGCAACGAGAGGCTCGTCTGGGGGGAGGAGAGGAGGGGTGTAGGAGATGGTGAGAGGGGGGATGGGCGGAGGGAGCAGAGAGAGGCGCATGGACAGGACATGTGGTCAGTGGGAGGGCGGAGGGCGGAGGGCGGAGGGCGGGGACAACAGGCATCGATCAGAAGTGTGGGTCGGCCCCGGTGTGCAGGACGCGGGGGGGGGGAGGGAGCGAGGTAAAACACAACGCACACTGGACCTGGGCGATGCGGTGCATCATCAGAGCAGGCGGCTTGCGATACTCGGTCTTGAGGGCAGCCTCACCCTCGGACACGGTCCAGCGGATCTTCTCCAGAGTGACGAGGATCTCGCCGAAGGACGAGTCGACAGTGGTCTTGCCGGAATCGCGCGAGGCGATCTTGGCCAGCATGTCCTGGTTGGCGATGATGTACTTCTGCAGGGTCAGCAGGACCCGGCGACGCTCGGCGAAGGTGGTCTTGGCCCAGACAGCGCCGACCTCATAGGCGCGCTTGATGATGCCATCGACATCGGCCTTGTTCATGGCCGGAATGTTGCCCAGGAAGTAGCCGGTAGTCGGGTCGTAGCACTGGATCATCCGCGGGTTGGAGGGAGACTATTGGGAGGAGAGAGGGAAGGAGAGTCAGCAAGGAAGGCTGTGCGTGTGGGGGGGGGGGGGCATGAACAGAGGAAGGATGTACCTTGCAATCGTTGACCTCAATGAACGAGGGCTTCCAGTCGGCAGTGATCTCTGTGTGTATGTGTGTGTGTGTGTGTGTGTGTGTGTGTGATTGCGAGGGAGAGCAGAGAGAGAGAGAGAGGCCGAGGGGGAAACAAGGTATCGAGCACATATCCAAGTCATGTCAGCAAAAGCCAAGGAAGACGGAAGCAGCGCGCGCGGGGGAGGTGCATGGGACGAACCGACGGGGCGCGGGAGGTTGAGATCCGGGATCGACTTGCCGCCAGTGCGAATGTACGAAGCACGAGCGGAGACCAGCCCAGCAACAACAGCAGCCAGCAGGGCAGCCGCGAGCAGGGCCATCCCGGGGTTGGCGACGGCGTGCGCGACGACAGCCTTGGCCTGAATGGTGGCAGCACTGACGTAGCAAGTGGTCATGGTGCTGGATGGCGGTAGGAGGAAGAGGGGGAGGGGGGTGAGAAGTGGTGGTAGGGAGGGGAGAGGGGGACCAGCACTGAGCGGAGAGGGAGAGGCCGGCTGGGCCGGTGCCCGGCAGGCGGCCCCGCCTCCTCTCAAGAACCACCAGGAAGGAGGGGGGCGGCAACGGATCGGCCACAACGGCCGAGCCGAAGTGATCGAGACCGCCACCCCGCGGCCTGAGATCAACACGCCACCCACCGGGGCAATGCAGGCCTGGACGACCAGCTGCCCCCCCCCCCCCCTCCAGCCGCAGGACGCAGGACCAAGACAACCAGTGGGAAGGCCACAAGCCGCGGCCCCATGCCCCCGGGGGAGGCGGGAAGGGAACCTACAGCGAGCGGGACAAGCCTGCCAGTGACCATCTGCCCGGCGTATGCACGCTCTGTGTCTGGCCCCCGGGCGAGCCGAAATTGGCTGGCCAATTGTCCGGGGGGGGGGGGGGGGGGGGGGCCGGCCGCCAAAGTACAGTCGGGGGCCCCCAGGCCCCTGCCTTTCTTTCCGCCTCCGCGCGGGTCTCGGGCCTCTTCACCTGGCACGAGGGGGGGCGGGGCCGGGGACAACGCCACATGAATGAGGAGATGGCGAAATACCTGCCGGGTCCGTGTGAAAGTCCCAGTTAAGTGTTCGCACATGACGCTCAAATGCCGTTCTTCTTCGAGCGGGCCCGCTACCCTGCCAGCAGGGGACGGGCCTCGGTCGAGTTTGGGTGAGGGGGGGGGGGAGGGCCCCGCCCTGGGAGCAAACAACATCAGGCGATGTGGCTCGTGCGGGCGCCGGCGACGGGGATGCCTGCCGCCCTATCGCACCGGCCCCTCTCCCCCCGGGGGTGGGGGTGGGGGGCTTTCCGAATGATGGGCGGGGGTCGGATCGCCGAAGGCCGGGAGGCGCTTGTCCATCTTTGTTCCAGCCCCCCCCCCCCCCTCCCCCGAACGCGAGGCGACCCGCGTCACGACAATTCGGCCACCTTGGAGGGAGGGGGCGGGGGGCACCCTGCGCGCCTGGGGCCAGAGTTCCAGGGAGGAGAAGGGCGCCGCACCCCTGCCAAGAAGCGATCATCCGCTGGCACACATGTCCACCCTGTGAGCTTCGCCGTGCAGTGGCGGCGGCGGCGGCGGCGGCGGCAAGGTAGCCAGCAGCCGCGCCACGCACCAGATGCCCCCTTCTGCCTCGAAATAACCGTCCCCTATGGTGGAACGGGCACGCCGGCTGGGGTGGGTATGCTCGCTCCCTCCGGCATTCGAGGCAGACACCTACAGAGGCTCGAGGGCGACGGGGGCGGGGGCAGGCCAAGAGCAGACAAACCCCCCTGTAGGCGTAACCCGCGGCGTCAGATCGGCGGCATGTGCGGGGCAGCCATGCGGGGCGCCCTGGGGGCATTCCCCGGGGGATGGCCAACGCCCACCCTGGCCCAGGAACAGGGCACACGCGGCGAGGGGGAGGGGGGGGGGGGCGCCGGTCCCGGGCAAGGACTGGCCGGCCTCCCTGGTCGTCGGCAGGGATGCGTTTTCTGCCGTCCGAGGTCGATGGGGATGCCGGTCATCCAGGGCGTGCCCCGCCTGGGAACGCAGAAAATGTGCTCCCTCCTGCGGCTCGCGCGTCCCTGTTTCGGGCGCGAGCAAAAAGATCGACCAGGATATTTTTAGGGGCTTTTTTAAGAGGCCATACTATTCACTCGCCAGGCCGAAATATGTATCTCTCCCTCTCTGCCTGCCGCAGGGCAGCCGGACTCCCTGCCCCTCCCCACACCCGGACCCTCCCGGGTGTGGAACACATGCGGTGGATGGAGATTCCCCACCCGAGAACCCAG